GCATTCACTCCTTAACATATTAAGTATACGGGAGGGAAAGCTGGTTGTGATAGTCGGTATATATAGTGCATCATGAGTAGGAAAAGGCCATCAGTACGTGGGCGGGAAATTGAAGGTTCAACAGGTCATAGGCAATTGGTGCACAGGGCCAGATTTAAGACATTTTCTGAGGACATGCGTCTGACGAGCAATCTGAAACTATTTTTGTGTTCAGCGTGACCTAGCATTTTTATGGGCTTTATTGAAGACGCATGAATGGGCGTTTCCACTTGACGTGCGAGGAGTATGTGTCTGGATAACCTTTTGACCTCAAGAGGAGGCGGATTTAACAATGGATTTTTAACGTGTTACTTGTGTTAAGAAAGAATTTGACTGCTGGGTGCCTAGATGTAATCGAATTTATACATGTACTGGCATGTTGAGCTTACAATGTCACAGTAAATTTCAAATAGCTAAATTTGCTTGAAGAAGCGGTTCTAATATTGCTCTTAAATCGCGTATAATTTCTATGGCATTCTCGTACTGTCAGTGTGTTATAATTGCCACTGCAGTGGCACTGCGCCAGTGCATGCTTGGCTGCATGAGTATGCGTGCTAGTTTTTGCCTGCGTTAATTAGGTTTAGGTGGCAGCTCTCTATTGCAGCGGCGTGTAGGCGAGGTTAAACATTGATTTGTTTCTCAACTGCGTTGGCGAGTAACTGTGGTTGTGGAACGCTCCCTATATTCTTACAGTGAAATTTTAGCACAGAACTCTTACTTAGACAATGCTTAGCTTAGGAGATAATGAGATGAGGGTTATATTATTGAGATCTAGTCATGATGTACATTATGACATAGTGGAAATAGTCATAGCACTCAAAATTACCCCAGGAGTCGAGGATGTCGGTTTCCCAGCGACTTAATTTTCTCAATCAAATTTTGGCGCACGCAATATAGATGCCAAATGACGTAGCGTTCTTGAGCTTATTGTCCACTAATCTACTGGGCTATACCTGTAGCTTTCTGTTTTTGTTTTACTAGGTGGTAAGGGTCACAATGCTACGGCATAAACATAGTTTCAGGCACGCCGATTTTACAACGCAATGGGATTTGGAGTTATGCCATAGAATGCAGAAGGTGTCTGAAATGAAATCGTGTCGCAATCTGTGTATCTGCAATCTGCGCCTAACAAAAGGTGTCCTTATCGCACAACTTAATGTAGCGTTTATAGACCCGTAGCAACACGACCTCCAGATAAGCCCAAGACGCTCTGGCTCGTTTCTCAAACAGTTTTTTATTTCTGGTTTTATGATTACTATATACATGTGTGGTATAGCTCTATTATGTTTAAAGTTTTGAATTACTGCTACTTGTACGAATGTCCCACCGTCGGCAAGACAATAAACAGTGGCAAGTCGAGGAGCGTCAAGCAATGAATGGGGCAAGGGAGACAAGCCGTGCAAATCAGAAGGAAGACCTCCTTCACAAGTTGCATGTTCTTGTGATGGAGAGGACGGTATCTGTACTTACACTGGTCAGGAGAGTAGCGCGTGCGTATGCTATTTAAAACTACGGTCTAGCATGCATTTTGTAAATGGAAGAGAACGTAATTATGCAAAGTCAGACAGTTTATTCGTGTAATTAACAGAGTTCTAGAACTAAACAGGATTAACAAGCTGTGAGAAAGCAGACGTCTTTCGTGCGTGGAGACGACCAACACGTGCTGTTGTTGTTGTTGGTGTCGATGTTCATTGTGTTTCATTGAAGGCTCAACTTGTTCAGCGTTAGCCACTGTTGGTTCTTCTTGCTATTTTGAGGGTTTGCTCCAGTCTACTTAAACTTCTTTATACTATCTAGTTGGAAATATTTTCAGCTGCGTAACATTGAACTTATTGCACTATCTTAACGATTGGATTCCTTGCACAATTGGTGTTTAGAGTCTTTTTTTACATGATTTATAGTTTATCTGTACTGTCACTAGCAACCTTTGTTAATGAATCTACTTTCTTCTCTCTTATTGGCACTGTCTCCTCTCGGTTTTTCTGTGTTTATATGTGTCAAACAACTTGTACCGCACTTTTTCGCTTAGCCCGAACCACACGATTACAGTATGATTGGCTGAAGGATTATATATTGTCAGTGTTGTAATAGCATACCGATCAGACTAACGGTTATGCTGCTATACAATTCAGAAAAGTGAAATATACATATAATAAAAACAATATTGCGCATATGCCAATTTCCAACAGTTGTTTTTTTTCACTTTACTTTGCAGATGGAACAAGCGTATCAAGAAATTGAATAGGCAGTTTGGTGAAAGTTCTTTCGAAGATCAAATCTTTG